ACTTGTGTAAAAGTATATTTCAAAGAGTGACATTAATCGGTTTCATTTACTTTTTAAAATACTGAACGAACGGTGAAATAGTTTCGTTTGAAATGTAGTTTTAAGTGTTCAACAGCAACTTAAGAATGTACTGTATTCATAATTCCACAATGTTTTGAAAGGAGGATTCATTCTTAGCTCCGCTAACCAGCATTGTTGCAATGATATTTCGATCTTATGGACTTCATGATCGATTGATTCCCATATACAGCAAAAATACCTTAACAAATACTCCAGTGGTATTGATAAAACTTTAAAGCGCAACAGAAGTTTTTATAATGTTTAGTAATTTACATGCGAAACGTCAAGCTCACCAAACAGATTAGAAAGAAAACCACTCGTAACTCTATAACAAGAACAACAGTTTGTTTACCACAACTACACCTTCTTTTACTATATATTTTTCTTCTCAGCATAAAACCACCTTAAACAAAACTAAAAAAGCCAGTCATATTCGCTTCATTAGTTCCTGCCTGAAGTATCACTACACGCTGATATTCAACTGAAATAACTGTAATGTTTTTCTGAATTATTCTAGATCCACTTTTAAAAACTGATCCTTGCGTCGGTTGACAACCAGTACCAACCAATCATTCAAACGACTTAAAACTGGTACTGTTACCATTGCCGACACGAAAAAAAGTAATTTACAATCTTTCAATCCTTTTTTATTCAACGTATCAAAGAATTGAAGTTTCAACTTTGCATTTTTTTAACCAAAGCTGAAAAATTTAGTGTTAAAAAAAACAGAAAAACTCGTAGCCGACTGAATCTTATATACGTGATTCGGACTTTGCATGTCATCAAACAAAGTTGAGATATTTACCTTTATTTAGTATTTGTCAGATCAGCGGATTATACACAATTCTCTCCGAATGGTCAAAGGTAAATGTTTAAGAAAATGCAGCCAAAACAAATTTAGAATACTTTCACGTACCGAACTTAGATTCGATATGTCAATTACGTGTATTTACCCTGTAGAACGTTAAGGGTAATATTTCAAGTACATGAAGCAATTAAATACAAACTGTTTTCCTCTTATGCTTCGAATATTAAGGAAATTACTTTCAATAATAAAAAAAGAGGCGAAAAACATAATTTAAACTCAATACTGATTTAAAATTGAATAGAAGGAGTGCAAATGTCCAAAACGTCAAACATTTCTACAATTTCAGTGTAATCTATGTAAACGTGAAATATTTTAATACATTTTAAAGCTACTTTCAGACAACTATAGCCAAATCATAACAGATTGACTAAAACAAAACTTAATGTAACAATTAGTAGAACAAGTCATACAAAGCAATTGACTGAAACAAAACTTAATGTAACAATTAGTAGAACAAGTCATACAAAACAATTGACTAAAATAAAACTTAATGTAACAATTAATAGAAAAAGTCATACAAAGCAATTGACTAAAATAAAACTTAATGTAACAATTAGTAGAACAAGTCATACAAAGCAATTGACTAAAATAAAACTTAATGTAACAATTAGTAGAACAAGTCATACAAAGCAATTGACTAAAATAAAACTTAATGTAACAATTAGTAGAACAAGTCATACAAAGCAATTGACTAAAACAAAACTTAATGTAACAATTAGTAGAACAAGTCATACAAAACAATTGACTAAAATAAAACTTAATGTAACAATTAATAGAAAAAGTCATACAAAACAATTAACTGAAATAAAACTTAATGTAACAATTAATAGAACAAGTCATACAAAGCAATTAACTAAAATAAAACTTAACGTAACAATTAATAGAACAAGTCATACAAAAGCAAATCCAATATTAACTCCATCATTTTACAGAATAAATACTGCATCAATTAATTTGACATTTTATATAATAGGGAATCTATTAATTCTCTATATCAGTTAGTCTGATACTTACTATCAATCAATATGACACTTGTTATTTCATTTCACGTATAATATCAATACTTTACGAACTAATTTTAATACTTGTTACGTCGTTTCGGCCGTATTAATTCCATGTACATCAAGCATTTGAATATCTATTTATTCTATATAATTTCATACTTTATAAACGAACCCAAAACTTACTATTTAAGTTAAAGTAGCACTTATTTTATAAATGAATCATACATCTACTATATAGATTAACATGATACTTATTTTCTAAACTAACCTGATTCATGTTTTATAACTGACTTGACACTTCGTTATATTCACAACAACGAATTAGCTGCAGAATCTGTTTCATTGAGATGTC